GAAAGAGTTTCTCTTTAATACTTTCTTTTCTCCGTGAAGCTGGACTCCAGATGTGATGGTTTAAAAATATGTCCATAAATTCTTTGCTACTCCTCCCTTCAAAAAATGTAACTTAGTTCCACTCCTTTTGAATCTGTAGTGGACTCACTTCTAACAGAAAAGAATATAGAAGAAATGATGACAAGTCACTTCCAAGATTGGGTTATAAAAGACTGGCTTTTGTCTCAATAGGGTAACCAACTGTCCTGGTTTACCTGAGACTGAGGGGTTTCCTGGGGTGTGGAAGTTTCAGTGCAAAAGCTGGGAAAATTCTGGGTAAACCAGGACAAGATGGTCACCCTATTCTTGGACTGGTGCTCTCTTGCATCATTCACTCTAGTGGAAGCCAGTGGCATGTTGTAAGCTGCCCTATAGAGATTCACATGGCAAGAAACTGAAGGTGACCATTGTAGTGAACAGCCACCCAAGAAATGAGTCTTCAGTCCAACAGCCCAGGAAGATTTGAGACGTACCAGCAAGAACATGAGTAGAGTCAGGAAGTAAATCCCCCCCCCACACACACACTTAAGCCTTCAGATGAGACTTCAGCTGCTCTGAACAGCTTGACTACGACTTTATGAGAGACCTTGAGCCAAACCATACAGCTTACTGGCCCCAAGTTTGTGACCCACAGAAACTGTTAGATAACATTCATTGTCTTAAGTGGCTATAGTTTGGAGTTATGCAGAAATAGATAACAAAGTAAGGAGATCATTGAAAATAAGGAGAAGTGGTGAGATGGGTTTCTAGGACCTAGCACATTTGGATGACTTTCTTTTCCGGGGCTGGCTTGTTTGGGGATCCAAACTGGTGACCTTGGTGTTAGCACCACGCTCTCCCAAGTGAGCTAACTGGCCAGCCTGGATGACTTTCTCTAGACAACTCCAGACAATGTGCTTGTACACTGTGCATGCCATTGATATTATGCAATGTCCAACAGTATCTTTTGGTAAAGGAATTCTGCCAAATGTTATTTAGCTTTCTTACTGAACATACTGACACTAGCTTTAAATGCTTCTTGGCAATAAAATGATCCATCACTATTTGGGCTATGAAAAGTGTAATTTTAAAGGATACCTTTATAGCTTAGATCACTTTTCTTATCTTCAAGGAGAAATTTCATCAATGTTTTATTAGGAAGCATTATTTTGTGCTTTTTGTTCCCCTAGAAAACATTTGACTATAAGATTGGCCACTGAGCTTTAAAAAAAAAAAAAAAAGCACTAAAGCTTTATTGGCTTTATAACACTATTTGACCAAGTTTCATAATATAATGCACTGGGAACCAGGGTCAAGTAGACCACCAGTCTAATAAAACTTGCTTCTCAGAGGTTCATTGTATTTCCTATTAGCGCTTTTCCTTTTCAGCTGATCATTGGAATCCACACTTGTGGATTACTCAGCCCCAGTCCAGTCAGATTCACCCCGTATATATTTATATGCACTGGATTTCTGGTCAGTGTTTCACTTGCAACTTTTTTTCTGAATTTAAAAGTATTCAACATCCTGGCTGGCGGGTTAGCCCGTTGGTTAGAGCACTGCCTCGTAACACCAAATTCCAAGGGTTCAGATCCCTCTACTGGCCAACCACCTGAAAAGTAAATAAATAAAAGTATTCAACATTCTGGTTTAATTAACTTCAACTAACTAGCTTGAGTTACTAATCCATTTTTGTGAATTGAGAAGGAAATATGACATAGTAAATTTTTTTTTTTTTTTTTTTTTAAAAGATGACCGGTAAGGGGATCTTAACCCTCGACTTGGTGTTGTCAGCACCACGCTCTCCCAAGTGAGCCACAGGCCGGCCCATAAAATTTTTAACTTAGCAAATAAATAATAACACATATATAAAACAATACATTATATTAACCTCATCCTATTTACTGAATATTAGCTGAGACAAATTATAGAGCCAGCACAACATAAACTTTAAGAGCAAAGTGACTATTGAGTGTAACATGATTTCTGAGAAAATCATAAGTAATCTGTCACTTAAAATTTCTGGAATAGGGCCGGCCCAGTGGCGCACTGGAGAGTGCGCCGCTTAGGAGCGCAGCGGCGCTCCCGCCGAGGGTTTGGATCCCATGTGGAGACCGGTTGTTCTGGAATAGGGCCGGCCCAGTGGCGCACTGGAGAGTGCGCCGCTTAGGAGCGCAGCGGCGCTCCCGCCGAGGGTTTGGATCCCATGTGGAGACCGGTTGCTGCTCACTGGCTGAGCGCGGTGCGGGCACAACACCGAGGGTTGCGATCCCGTTACCGGTCACGAAAAAAGACAAAAAGGGGAAAAAAAAAATTTCTGGAATAGATGCGAATAAAGCTTTTTCATCCCACTAAAACAGCGTGTAGGTAACTGGATAGGTCACTGGTTCAGGGACCACACATTGAAAGGATGCAAATAGATTGTGAGAAAATCGCACAGTCAGGTGACTGGAGGACTCACTGAAGTAGACGTAAGTCAATGGAGTTGGGGAGTGGAAAAGCTGAAAGAAAATGTACAGTGTAGTCCCATTTGTGTAAAAAAAGAGTGTAAAATTTAAATACATAGAAAAAAGCACTAGAAGGGAAACTTAACAATGGTGACCGTAGCTCAGCTGGTTAGCATACAGCCTTATAACACCAAGGTCACAGGTTTGGATCCCCTTACCCGCCAGCTGTGAACAACAAAAAACAAAGCTAAAAATCAGTGGTGATTAGTGTAGGAGGGGAGTCGGTGAGCAAAGAGAACATTCGTGATCTGATCTATATATGCCTCTTTGTTTTTTGTTTTTTCCCCAATTGTGGTCAAATACACATAACATAAAATTTACCATTTTAATCATTTTTAAGTGTTCTGTTCAGTTTTGTTAAGTATATTCACATTGTTGTGCAACCAATTTCCAGAATGCTTTTCATCTTGTAAAATTGAAACCCTGTGCCCATTAAACAACTCTCCATTTCCCTCCCACCTCCCCCAGCCCCTGGCAACCACCCGTCTACTTTCTGTTTCTATGAGTTTGACTTCTTTAGATTTTTCATGTAACTGGAATTATCCAGCATTTGTCTTTTTGTGATTGGATTATTTCACTTAGCATAATGTCTTCAAGGTTCATCCATATTGTAGCATGTGTTGGAATTTCCTTCCTTTTTAAGGCTGAGTAATATTTAATTGTACTTATATACCACATTTTGCTTATCCATTCATCCATTGAAGGACATTTGAGTTGCTTCTACCTTTTGGATATTGTGAATTATGCTACTATAAATACAGATATACAAATATCTCTTCGAGATCCTGCTTTCAATTCTTTTGGATATGTACCCAGAAGTGGAATTGCTGGATTGTCTGTCTTATTTTAATCTTCTGTGATGAGAGTATACTTATATATTATTTGTATAATTTAAAATGTACAGAGAAATGAGGAGGTAATCATCAGAAGGCAAGCATACATATATTAAATGTAGAGCAGGGTTTGGCCATGTGTGGGAATTGTGTGTATTCAACAAGTGACGTTTTAGACTTACTCAAGTTTCCTCAGTGGTAAGAGAGCGCCTTCAGGCCAGACTAGTCTGATTCCTCAAGGTATGGATAAGGTTGGAAAATTAAACAGGATTATTCAAATACATTCTTCAGTTTCCTACCTCTGCACCTCTATTCCTGCAGTTCCCCTCACTTGGTACATTCTTTTTGCCTGCCAACTTTACCCACATGTCAGATATGTTTCACTCACATCTCAAATGTTCTTTCCCCTCTGGGGCCCTTTTGAAGCTCTCTGTAAAGCTTCCTAGCTAGATTGACTTTTCTCACATCTGAAGCCCCACAGGGCTTTGTGCCTCTCTTCAGGCTCTTTTCTTCACAGGAGGTGGTCCAAGGCTCATACTCATTTAAGTTGTTGCTGAAGCTCACCTTTGGATTTGAATTCAGCATTAACAAGCATACCAGCCAAGAGCTCTACCAGCCAGAATTTAGATTAGCACCCAGAGTCAACATCTGTGGACAAATACTTATTATCGCTACATGTCTGGCACTGTTACAGGAGCTAGGGATAGAGGGGTGAACAAGATTAGGTTCCTGACCTCATTGAGTTTACACGTATTTTCTTTTACAGGCCTTCCTAATTTGGAGAAATCAGGAATGCATTTTTTCTTCTTTTTTTGGCAGGTGAGTTGTTACACACTCCTTGGCTGATTCTGACTTCCATGGCCACTGTCCTGCTAGGAATTATGAGGTGCCTAGGGGCAGCAGTTGGAGATAACACACATTTTAAATTCAACAAGTATTTATTGGGTACATAATATGTGCCAAGCTGTGTATTTTCCACTGGAAATTTAACAGTGAACAAGGTATCAATGGTTTTTTTTCTTTCTCATAACTGCTTTATTGTGATATAATTCACATACTGTACAATTTACTAATTTATGTGCAATTCAATAGTTTTTAGTATATTCACAGAGTTCTACAAATATAACCCCCCAAAGAAACCCCCCATACCCATAATCTCCCCATTTCCCCCAATTCTCCCAGCCCTAGGCAACCACTGCTTTTTGTCTTTACAGATGTGCCTATTCTGGACATTTTACATAACTGGAATCATATAATATTTGGTCTTTCATAACTGGCTTCTTTAACTAAACCTACTGTTTCAAGGTTCATCCATGTTGCAAATAATTTATTGCCAAATAATATTCCATTGTATGGATATACCACATTTGTTTATCCCTTCATCAGCTGATGAACATTTGGGTTATTTGCACTTGTGGACTATTATGAATAATGCTGCTATGAACATTCCTGTCTAAGTTTTTGTTTGGACAAATGTTTTCAGTTCTTCTGGATGTATTCCTAGGAGTGGAATTGTGGGTTAATCTGGTAACTCTGTATTTACCTTTTGAGTGACTGTAACTAGTTTCCAAAGTGGCTGCACAATTTTACATTCCCATCAGCAGTGTATGAAGGTTCCGTTTCCCCATATTGTCTCACAAACTTATTATCTGTTTTTATTATGGCCATCTTCCAAATATTTTTTTAACTTGCTATTTTGAAAAAACTTTCGATTTAAATAATTGCAAAGATACTACAAAGAGTTCCAGTGTATCCTTCACCCAGCTTCCTCTAATGGGAGAGTACCAATATTTTGAAACATAAGTAGCAAGAGATCCAGCTTTAGCCCTTGTTGGCTGAGGTGGGTATTAGGAGTTTCAGCCAGTCAAAGCAAATGATGTTTACATGGACAGGAGACAGAAGACAGCCAGAAGAGGGTCACATCAAGGTAATTCAGGTAAGAAAACCACAAGGTAGAATTCAAGGAGACGAAGCCAAATTTTGTTAGCAAGGGTCAAGATCGGGGAGGAAAGGGCTCCCTGACCACCGGCACCACTGACGGTCTCCTCACACCGTTGTATTGTCTGGTTGTTTTCTAATTGTACCGGGCTGTTCTCTTTCCACCAGACTGTAAACAACTGGGAGCTTCAGACAGTGCTTTGAAAGACTCTCATGTCGCCCACCCTTACACGAAATGCACTTGAAACCACCTTAGTCTTCGGCTTCCCGTAGCGCGGGAGACAGGAGAACGGAAGGCCAGGCGACACGTCTAGTGCCACACCCAGGAACGCGCCGGCCATTCAGGGGCCACTTCTGCCCGCCCAGACCGGAGAGACGGCTCCCTATTGGCCAAGGGTGCAGGAGGGTCCGCCTTCCGAGGTGGCAGGGCAACCCTTCCATCTAACCCTGGGTCGCCGCCTCCTTGAGGGGCCGCCGGGGCGAGCGCCGAGAGTGGGCTCCGCTTGCTTCTCAGCAGACGAAGAACGGAGCGGGAGGGCCCTCCTACAGCGAGGCCAGGCCCGGAGGCTGCATTAGAAAGGTCGCGAGTCCTTTTGTCTGCTCTCTGCAGCGAAGGGGCGGGGCCGCCCCGGCTTCCGCCCCGGAAGCGGAAGTGCAGGCTCCGCAGGGTCCTATCCAGTGTGAGCCCGACCCGTTTCCCAGCTGTTCAGTCCGCTGGTCTCATCGCTCCCTCTCGCCTGACCGTGTCCCGCTTGCAGGGCCCGCCATGCTGTCTCTAGACTTTTTGGACGATGTGCGGCGGATGAACAAGCGGCAGGTGAGTTTGGCCGCCCTTTGTTTTCCTGGGCTCCTCTTGTCCCTTCGACGCCTCCACTATGGGGCTCTGCAGACCCCTGGGTCCGGGTCTGAGGGCCTGAGCAGATCTGTTGCCCGGATCGTTCCCTTTTTTTGGAGTCTGTCTAGAGGCTCCTTTGTCCTCCCCCCTATTTTTAGCCCCCAGCTTATTCCGGGCCTGCCTGGGGCGGAGGGGGAAGAGGTGTCTTCACGTTCCATTCTTCCCAGTGAGCCAGGGGAGCAAATGGAAATCGTAGGGCGCTTTGTAAGTGGGAGTTGGCGTTGGTTGGTTACTGTTTTAGACATTGTAAGGTGGCAAACTCATGGTTTCTCCAATAAGAGCAACTCCCGATGGATTCCAGAGAGAAGAGGTTTAGCAGTTCTCTTCTGGGGCGCTCGGGAAGGCGATTGTAGGCCCCACAAAAGCCTTTTCGCTGCTTTCAGTCCGTCGCAATCCTTTTAGTACACCTGGGCCCTAGTGGGATGCACCAACTTTAACTTGGACCACTCAGGGCTCAGAGTTGGAGTAGATACTCTACTTGCCCACTTAGCAGTAAGGTGGCTGCCCTCGGAATCTCTGGTTTTACCGTCGAATATCAGTGGCACAGGGATCTTGAAATTTAGGTCTCCTGATTTTGTCCTTAAACCCTACTCTGTCCTGGTCTTCTAGATTGTATGCCTAATGGTACTGAGAATACTATTCTAATTATTTAGTCATTAGAAAAGATTGTTTCTTTTTGTCTTCAGCACCAAATGTCTGTAGAGCCTATTTTTGCTTGCATTGGATCTTTTTACAGTATTTTGCCGTTATGATTCTCCTAATATCACTATTAAAGATTTTTTTCTTTGGACTTGTGTTTTGTGCTATTTAATTACCATTTAGGGAAGTAGATATACAACCTTCCTTTTCTCTCCTTCAGGTCTTAACTAGCTCAGTGTCACCGCCTCTTAGACATGTTTCCCAGTTCCTTCAGTCAGAATTGATCATCCTTTTCAAATTGCCCAAAACGTTAGTGTATCATTAAGATAACACTTCAAATTCTCACTTGTATAGCGTTGTCTTTTTCATTCATGTTTGGATTTCTAGGTGCATTTCTTCAGACATTTCTCTGAAGAAAGTATTTATTTTGGGTTTGCTATTTATTGTACCTTATCCTAGGTACAATGAGAGAAATGTAAAGATAAATAAGACCGACTCTGCTTTCAAAGAGCATAAATATGTAGAAAATGACTAAGGCAAAACAATAACTTTTTTGAACTCTTGCTATGTGTGAAGCAGGTAATGTTATTCCCATTATACATAAGAAGAAAATGATACTTTGTGAGAAACAATACAGTATAGAAGTTAAGAGTAAGCACTCTGAAGCTAGACTTTGGAAGTTTGAAGTAGTTCTGCTTATTACTAGCTGCGTGACTTGGAGTAAATTACTTAACCTCTCTGTGCCTATCTTTTTTTTATTGTGGTAAAAATATGTACAACACCCCCCACTGCTAAATTTGACTGGCTTAACATAAAATTCCCCATTTTAACCATTTTTAGGTGTGTACTTCAGTGATACTAACTGCATTCACAATGTTGTGCAACCATAAGGTTGCTGTGAAAATTAAATGAGTTAGTTTATATAAAGCTCTTAGAAGAGTGTCTGATACATGGTAAGTGTTAATTGTGGTGGTGTTGTTGTTGTTGTTAGAGAGATTTAGTAATTTGCCTAAGATTGAAGGTAAAAGTAGGACTTGGATTTGATCTCAGGTCTTATTCCAAAGCCTGAACACTTGGATAAAAAAGGATATGACAGGTTCTAGCAGTGGTAGGAAAATTGTGAGAGATTCCAGCCAGGGCCTTAAGAACAGCTTCAAGGAGGAACTGGCATTTAAGCTGGATCATGAAAGACCTTCTTAGTATTATCATCTTTGTGTCTTGGTTAGCATTTTGGTGATTCAAGATGAAGGGGAAGGAAGAACATTCATTGAACACTTGCAGACCTGCTAGGTGATAGGCTATGAGGCTACAGAGATGTACAAGGCACACTTCCTGCCCACAAAGAGTTTATCAGTCTAAAAAGAAATAAAGAAAATGTCGAGTATTACAAAATAATGTTTTAAAACAAAATTACAGACAGGGAACAGAAACATGAAGATCGAATGAGGTGGATGCCCTGCACTTCTTTTTCCTTAATGTGAAATGATTGTGGTTCAGGATTCATTGCATACAGGACATTCAGGGTTAGTGTAAGTTTATATGATAAAATTGTTCCCTGACCTCTCAGAGGTTGTTAGAAATGGATGGGAGGGATTGGATAGCACAAGATAGGATGAAGGGAGAGTTATGAATTGAGGTTTTATCTGTACATAATATCTGGGAAAAAGAATTTGTGACTGCAGATTTTGACAGCTAATCAAATGAAAAGAGGAAAACTAGACTTTTGGTTTTATTCCTCTAAAAATTGCTGTCATTTGCATAACTTCTGTTTATGGCCTAATTGCATATTACACACATCATCAAATGTCTGGTTACTTTGAATTTTAATTTTTTTTCCCCCTTATCAGGTTCATAGAGGGATACTTTAGTAAATAAACTTTATCTATTTAAAATGTAGGGCTCGGTAAGTTTTACAGTTACGTACAGCCATCTCAATCAGAATACAGAACATTTCTATCAGCAACAAGATCTCTTGTGCCCTTTATAGTTTGTTCCCCCTCCAGTCCTAGGCAATTACTGATTTGCTTTTTGTCACTATAGAGGTGTTTGCATTTTATATAAATGGAATCATAGAGTATACTTTTAAGTTTTAACTGAATTTTTTCTCTAATTTTTTTAAGGCTTTTTTTTTTAAAGCAGTTTTAGGTTCAGAGCAAAACTGAGGGGAAGGTTCAGAGATTTCCCACATACTTCCTGCCTCCACACATGCATAGCCTCCACCATTATCAATATCCCCCCCACCAGAGTGGTACATTTGTTACAATTGACAAACCTACGCTAATACATCATAATCACGGAAAGTCCAAAGTTTACATTAGGATTCACCCTTGGCATTATGTATTCTGTGAGTTTGGACAAGAGTATAAAGACATGTGTCTACCATTATAGTATTTATAAGAGTGTTTTCACTGCCCTTAAAATCCTTTGTGCTTTGCCTCTTCATGCTCCCCACCCCAACCCCTGCAGTCATTGATCTGTTTACTGTCTTCATAGTTTTGCCTTTTCCAGAATGTCATATAGTTGGAGTCATACAGTATATAGCCTTTTCAGATTGGCTTCTTTCTCTTAGTAATATGCATCCAAGCTTCTTCCATGTCTTTCCATAGCTTGATAGGTCATTTCTTATTAGTTCTGAAAGGAATGATATTCCTTTTTCTAGATGTACTACACAGTTTATTTATCCATTCACCTACAAAGGACATCTTGGTTGCTTCCAAGTTTTGGCAGTTATGAATAAAGCTGCTATAAACATTCATGTTCAGGCTTTTCTGTGGATATAAGTTTTCAGCTCCTCTGGGTAAGTACCAAGGAGCATGATTGCTGGATCGTATGTTAAGAGTATGTTTAGTTTCATAAGAAAGTCCTTTACTGGGGTGTATTAGTCTGTTTCTGTTGCTTATAACAAAATACCTGAAATTGGGTGATTTGTAAGAAAACAAAATTTATTGGTTACAGTTTCTGAGGCTGCAAAGTCCAAAGTCCAGGGAAACATCTGGTGAGGGTCTTCTTTGGTGGTGGCTTTACAGCAACGCAGGGCTCTCACATGGCAGAAAATGGTGGAGCAGAGAGAGAGACTCTCACATGCTCTCCTTTTAAAGCCTGCAACCATCCTCATGAACTAGGGCATGGTCTTTACAATCTAGTCATCTCTTCAAGGCCCCACCTTTCAGTTATCATAGGATCTCCCACCCTCAACAGTTACAATGGGGATTAAGCTTCAGTGACTTTGGGGGTGGGGGGTCATTCAGTCCACTGCATGGAATATCAGATTTCTTGAAGCTTTTCTTAATACATGATGCCTTGATTTGTAGAGTTTGCTTATTTCTGTGCTGTAAATATCTCAGATTTCATGCTACCAACATGACATCACTGAATGCAGAATTAGGAAGAGACATGCAATAGTGCACATCTATAATTTTCACCTTATATATAAAATAGAGAAAATAACCTCAAGAACATAGATAATAATAAGTTGTAGTAAAATAATTAGGAATTGATACATTTAGTATATTTATTGCCTTTGTTTTTAATATAGTTTAATTGCATTAATTTTTTTTTTTTTTTTAAAGATGACGGGTAAGGAGATCTTAACCCTTGACTTGGTGTTGTCAGTACCACGCTCTCCGAAGTGAGCCACGGGTTGGCCCTTCATTGCATTAATTTTTAATAGCACTGTGTTTAACAATCAGCTTGCAAAATTCCTGAAAATTTAGCAAATTGGCTCCAGCTCACCATTGATTAATCACCATTGGTTAATATGAGAGTTTTTTGATGTATATCGAGGTGACTGTTGTGTGCAGAAAAGCCTAGAGTTATCTTTAGTTTTAAAAATTAGTATTCAATTTATAAAAGCTAAAATTTAAAAACTAAGTTTTTAAGCTTTTAGAATCAGTGTACAAATCTGTCCTATTTGAAGTGTAGCAAATTTTAACAATCACTTTTAAGGGCCTTTGAATATGTCGTTTAATTTATAAGTTTAAACATCTTAAAAACATTAAGCTTAATTTATAAGTTAAAAAATTTCTTTCTAAGAAATTCAATTATTCAACAAACATCATGGAGTACTTATATGATTTTTATAAATCTGGAGCTTCTTAAGTTCTCTTAAAAGGTTTCAGCACTATAAATAGTAAACTTTCTGATTTAAAACATAAATCTAAAACAAATGATTACACATTTTCAACTGGAACTATTACTAGGCCAAATTCTCTGAAATTTTTTTTTTTTTCCTTTTTGTCTTTTTTCGTGACCGGCAACGGATCGCAACCCTCAGTGTCGTGCCC